AATATGTTTCTTCGTTAACCAGCTGCCGCACCCCAACAAACGACAACCCTCAGAAGACGAAACTTGTGCGAATTAAGGACTACTGAGGTCTTACCTTTTAACGTGTGATTCCTAACACAGATTGGACGATAGCACGTGAAAATCGATATGTCAATTGAACAATTAAAATATTGATTGCTTAACATTTCAAAAGGTTGAGTTTTGACATTTCTCTTCCAAATGCAATACGCCATAATCGTGATTGAACTTGTCCCCCTCTGCCAAAAGATATTTCGCAATAGTTGAATTGATCTTTCCATTCAAAAAACTACTTCCGTGCTCTTTAAGTTCTCTGGAAAAAGTTTTTCCGGTTTCTCCCATATAAAATTTCGCACTAGAACCACAAGTCAACTTGCATATTCCCGATCTATCCGACATTAGTGTTTTACATTCATTAATTTCATTGAATTTACTCAAATCATTATTTGTTCTAACTCTCAAGTGAAATTCTCACATTAAAGTGTGTTTTTGAAAACGATAAAATGGATTCTCATCAAGTATAGGTTAGTTTTATCATAATTTCATAACGACATGCCGTATGAATTAGTGGGTACATGGGGTGGTTGGTGGGATCAACTCCCTACTAATGAATCAGACTGCAAAGTGGTTCATTGTTGTACGGTTGATCTTACTTTCACGCCTTTCGAGACGACTAATTTGTAATTTTTTGCTATGAAAAAACCTAATGTCATAAAAATCGCACAGAAATGAATCACCTTTGCATGTAGTGAACACTTTCACAGACTGTTTTTTAGTGTTTCTACCATTTTTTTGTACAGCGTTTGGTTAGAAAATAACCTCGTCATGATTAGTACCTGAATTCATAGAATCCTTACAAGAATTTATGATGGATTATGTTGATGGAAGTGTGATGTTGAATGTCGAAAGAGTATTGATTAATATACAGGTTTAGTGCAAACGATTGAAATGGTTCTTGTTATCTTTGTAGAAAAACACACTCAACTTCAAGCGCATAGGAATGTATTGAACAATTATCATTGGTTGATGTTCATACATGAGAAAATAATAAATCAGTTCAGTTCAGTTTAAAACTATATTATCATTGCTATAGAATAACCTAACTTATGAATACAGTTTTATTTTCAAATCTCGAACACCCTCTAACTTCGCCATAATTTCTCTTATTTAATTTCGGCTTATACTCGTTTAGTACCTACATAAGGTCAGGAAAGTTGTCGCTAGAATCAGTAGGCAGGCTTTTTTTCGTTGTAGAAATTATGAAATGTAGAAATAATGCAATATTTTAATTATGTAAGGCTTGCATTTCCAGATATTCCAGGTTATTACATTTGAGAGTTGTGAGTGTGAAGAAACAATTAAGACAGTTCATTTCACTAAAACACTTAAATTCAAAATGGAAAACTAACAACATGAAAATAGTTATTTAAAAAGTACCCTCTGTGGTGCAATTCTCTAATCGTAAATCTTCCTGTCGTGTCTCAAATTGCCCCAATAATATAAAAATTGTAACACATTTCGCAAGAAAGGAAGTAGAAATTTCCTGGAAAACTTCATTATATCGTCGCCCAAACAAAGAATGGTGAATACCTCCACCTTCCCAAGGAAACCACGAATGAGCCGTAATCGATAGAAACACTTGAGAATTTGAAATGGTCGATTATTAAAATATGAGAGCATTGTTCAAGTTGCGTGTTCCTTATTGAAAACATGATGCAAGCCAAAACAGTGACGTTTGCATTCTTCAGAAATTCGATATTTTATAAGGATAGGTTAAAGAAAGAGTTCGTTCTTCTACATTGTGATTCAAAAAATGTTACTTGTGAGTGGTATGCTAATGAAAACGATGAAAAAAATCTATAGTTTGATTGATCTTCCATGAATGATGTGTCCGATAATGTTTTTTATTATTCTGTAAAAAGAAGCCAATAACTAAGGGAGATTGGAGTAAAACGGCTATTTCAAGGAAAAATCTTGTATGGAATTCAGTGTTCAATCGATAGTAATTAACAAGTTAATTCTATGTTGAATAATTTTTAGTTTTTTTTTTCTCTAAATCTTGCACTTTACCCAAACTATTGGGTTTGTGTTTGTGGAGATCAAATCGTGAGGTGTAGTTTTTGAAAAAGTGGATAATATATTTTTTGCCGCCTGAAATTATATATATTGACTTTTACAAAAAGGATTTGAAGCTTTATATCTTCTAATAATTATCTGCGAGCGCTTTCGACAGTTGGTAGTACTGTCATCTTCTAGGCACTCCTCAAACTGAACTTGTCATCCTATCGTCTGCCTCTTTATACGGTCAGAGCGTCTCAACTCAGGTATTCCAGGTACTTTAGGTAAATTAGCCTGTATTCATACTGCATCAGGTACTCTTCTTTGTGTTAGATCTTCTCTAGGAATGTGTATGGTTTTGTTTAATATATTGAATGTGAGGTCTTGTTGTGTTTTGATTTGTACTTGCTTCTCGATAAGTGATTTATGACTGTTAAATTTATGGATGTTCAAGTTTCCCTTGTTGACTTGTTTTATGAGTTTTATGTTCTCTGGTGGGGGGAAATTATGTTTGTTTTGTATGGCGTGTGTTGCGAGGTTTGATTTATATACTATTGGATTTATGTATGCCTTCTTGTGCTCATTGTACCTTTGGATTAGTTTTTTCTTGGTTTGGCCGATATAGAATTTGTTGCAGTCCGAGCATTGTATACTGTATATCCCGTTTTGGTCTTTGTCTTCTTCTTTTTCATAGTTGTTTATTTTTTGTGTTATCTTCGGCTTGTATGTGATGTTAATCAGTGGTTTGAAGATGTTTGTTGGTTTTTTGGTTTGGTGTCCTACGTACGTAAATGCTGTCCATCGTTGTGCTGTTTTCTCTGTTGGGGTGGCTTGATCCTTGTTATGTATTTTTTGTTTGATTCTGTTTTCTAGTTTATCTATTGTCTTTTGGGTGTATCCGTTTTCGTTCGCTATTTGGTATTTGACTTTCCGTTCTTTGTTTCGGGCTTCATTGCTGAGTGGTATCCTTAACATTCTATATATGAATGCGTTATAGGCAGCCATTTTGTGTGATGGTGGATGGTTTGAACTTGTGGGTATGGTGGAGCTTGTTTGTGTAGGTTTCCTCTATATTGCCATTTGAAATTGTGTTTTGTTGTGGTTATATCCTATGGTTATGTCCAAGTAGTTAAGTTTTGAGTTGTGGTCTTCCTCAATGCTGAAACATAGTTTTTGATTTATTTCGTTAATTTCTTTTTTTATTTGTTCTATTCTATTTCCATTGTTTTGTGTTATGTACAGTCCATCGTCAACGTATCTGAACCATTCTCCTTTTTCATCATGTGTTTTTATTATTGTTAAGATTTTCTCATCTATGGTTTGCAGGTATATTTCGGATATAATGCTAGATAGTGGGAATCTCATCGCTAGTCCATCTGTTTGTTTATAAATTTTCCCTTCAGATTCGAAATAATTTTGAGTATTGTATTTAGACTGTGTTCCATTTGGTTAATGTAGGTTTTGTCTATGTTTTGGTGTTTTAGTTTCTCAGATATGATGTTTATACTTTCGTTGACTGGTATGTTGGAGTACATGTTTTTTTATGTCAAACGAGAACAGTTTAGTGTTCGGGCTGACATTTGTCGTAGAGATTCTGTCTGTAAGGTCCATTGAATTTTTGATGCTGTGGTCGTTGTTCCTGTTGATTTTGTTTTTCAGTTCGTCGGCTATGATTTTTGAAATTTTGTATGAAGGTGCTTTGGTGAAATTGGTCTTATAGGTTTATTTTCCTTATGTATTTTTATCTGTGCGTTGAGTTTTGGTGATCACAGACAAAACACAACAAAACACTGGTGGCCACTTTGTCACGACATACCACTTTACCTCAGACCAGAGAGAAAAAGTCATGCATTATTATTCCAACATAATGTCATATTCTGTTCCGGCCTGCCATAGAACTCATTAGTTACCAATAACAAGGACAATCCTGTATAAGAAGTGATCATCACGATTTCCTTCACAAAGCTGCCATCTATGAGATCGCCATTGAATCAAATCTCCGTATATATAAGATCGATGAGGATCCCTGGAAAGTAGAGGATCTGTTGAAATAGCAAACTTCGATATCAGTGCCCAAATTAGATATTGCTTCTCGTGTATCTGCATATTTCACTTTTTTATTAGTAATTTATGAACTCTGTGATACAACTAAAGGCAAAAAAGATAATACTTCAAAATGAACAACATCAATGTATGTACAAAACTCTCTATAGATCAGTATACACCAGAACACAGTGGAATAAATACTCATTGAGATATAGATCTACAAAATTACATGACATTAAATGGACAAAACTTTTGAAAACCTTATATATAAACTTTTTTCAATAAAATTAGCTGATAAACATGTTCCCAATTTTTTACCACAATTAGAAAATATCCTGACTAGATTCTTTTAAGGAGAGAGTTCGATTGACTTTATCTGCTTGATTCCATCTAGAGTGATGAAGGAAAATGAAGTACGTAGCAGTTCTTGTTTTTTAGGAGAGTGTGGAAGAATCGGTCAACGGACTTAACACTTCACTTTTTTTGTTGTTTTTTTAAGGTTATGCTACATAATTCTCTAATTATTTTACTAGCAAACAATAAAAAATGTATAATTGTTATTATCAAATACAGCTGCCTATCGCTTCGGGATTTAACTCGATACACCTCGAACTACATCTTCGAAGAACTTTTTCATTCAGCCTGGCGTTTCTGTTGTGTTAACTTCCCGGGTCAATATTGCTAAATGAATATAATCTTTACTAAATCGTTACTTTCGCTCAGAGCGTATTTAAGAATTTTTTGCTGTGCTTGTGCACAGCAAAAAGAGCCGACACCTCACACAAGCCTCATCCCAAAACCCTCTGAAAAGAATTCGTCTAAACCCTTTCCTCTTTTTTATACTTTTCCAGTCGGTGGCTCCGTCTCGGGCTGGCAGCAGGATGCAGCAGTACGACGAGGACGCCCCCCTCGACGAAGAAACCGCCGCCGCCACCTCCGGGGAGAGGTCGGCAGATGGCGGCACGAACGGCCGCCACGAAGATGAGGATGAAGACGTCGTTCCCGCCGCGACGCCACGTGACAAGACGGCGGCCGCCAACGGCGTCGCGGTCAGTGCGAATCGGGACGGTGGCGGCGGCAACGGCGTCCAGGTGCAGCGCGGGAACCACAGACGTGACGAGCCCGATTCCGACGACGAAGACGAGGAGGTCGCCAACTCTAACGGTGAGTAGAGGAGGAATTTGAGGTTAGTTGGGGTTAGTTCGATGGCTAGGAAAGCTTTTAACAACATATTAGGAGTTGAACTGTTTTCGCTACTTGGACACCGTCTGACTTTCACATTTCTTCGAAGCCTACGGGCAACTCTGCAGCTTCATGGGCTCATAGCCCATTTCCACAATTTTGTTACATATTCTTTATTATATCTTAATGATATTCTTCTGGGCATAATTTAGGTTATCTATAAATATCTGTTGAGCTCTTCGTAGGCTAACATAGAAAAATATGTTTTGATTTGATTTTATCATTGAATACAGTTGAATTCGAGAGCAATACAACGATTATAGTGATAATATAATTTTTTGATACCATTTGCATAGTTAGATTTATCTTAAGTCTCAGTTTCGATGAATAATTACCTCTTCCTCGGTGCTAAATTTCTCTCCAGCGAGCATTCTCTGTAGGTTTGAGAACAGATAAAAGTCGCTGAGGGACAGATCTGGAGAATATAATGGAGCTGAAGTAATTTGAAGCTCAATTTATGCAATTTTGCCATCGTTTTCATTGATTTGTGACACGGTACAATGCCTTGATGGAACAGCACTTCCTTTTTCTTCAAATGGTACCGTTTTTCCACGATTTAGTCCTTCAAACCTTCCAATAACTCTATATAATATTATCTGTTGATGGTTTTTCCCTTTTCGAAATATCGATGAATATTATAACATGCGCATCCGAAAATACTGATACCATAACCTTGTCAGCCGACTGTTGGGTCTTTGCACGCTTTTGGGTCATTTCACCATGTGCAGTCCACTCAGATGACGATCGTTTTGATTCTGGTGTAAAATGATGAAGCCTTGTTTCATCCATTGTCACATATCGATGCATAAATTCGCGTTTTTTATGGTGAAACAGCTCCAAACACTGCTCAAAAAGAACAATTATTCCAATATAGTCGCCTACTCTGATAACAAGGCAAAAGCTCTGTAGAATTTGGTAAATATAAACCACCTAACCTAACCTAACCACATAAAAAAAACAGGAAATCAACTTGATAATGAAATGTAGATAATGAAATATTAGCAGATAAAACACAGGTAGCAAATATTTTTGGAAAGTACTTTGCAAATTCTGTCAGAGAGAAGCTAGACTCTCCTAAGCTCCCCGTTGAACTGTGCATAAAATTAGCCATCACAATTCCTAATTCTATGTTTTCTGCTCCTGTGAGAAAAGAAATTTTCCACTGGCATAGATGAAATACCAGCAATTCTTCTGAAAGAGTCCATTGACAATATCTTAAGTACATTAGCCATTATTATAAATCACTCTGTCATTAGTGGAGTGTTCCCAAATAAACTGAAAATATCAAAAGCAGTTCCGGTCTTCAAGACTAGGCATACCAAGTGCGTGAAAAACTACAGAATGATATGTCTGTTGAGCTGTTTTTCCAAAATTAGGGAAATGGCAGTCTATAATCAAATAACATCATACCTGACTAAACATAATTTATTAACTCCACGACAGTTCGGATTCCGACCTGGCTATTCTATCGAAACAGCCTCAGCAAATCTTGTACAATATATACATGATAGCATCAACGAGAATGAGCTTGTGGTTGGACTATTCTTTGATCTGTCTCATGCATTTGACACAATCAACTCTAGGTATCTATAAATAAAACTGGAAGCTCTAGGCATCCGAGGTCCAATTCAAAAATTGATCGAGTCTTATATGTCTGGTAGATCTCTTAAGGTGCAGGTTGAGAAGTAGCTCTCCGAAAATTTGAATATAAAGATTGGCACTCCCCAAGGTGGGGTTCTTGGGCCATTGCTATTTCTGATGTATGTCAATGACCTTCTTAATCACATTAGACAAGGACGTACTTTCGTATACGCAGACGACACAAGAATCGTTGTTACAGCTAAAACTATTAATCAGGTACAGGCTAAAATAGATACTCTAATAAAATAATTCACATACTGGTGTGAAGTAAATCACCTTATCAGTCTTGCAAATAAAATGGCCCCCATTGAATTCACTAGTACATTTATCAATAAATGTTGGTAACACAGAAGTTCACAACTCAGAATCAACGAGATTCCTAGGCCTCGAACTAGACTAAAAACTTTCTTTCAATAGACAAGTTGATGCTCTGTGTGAAAAAACCCAACAAGCTATAATTTGCAGGTATTACTCTGAAATCGAACTTTCAAAGGCACCACCTAGTAAACCTATATTATTTTTAATATACAGTATCATCAGTAGTAACATCATTGTGTGGGAAAGAGCTACAGACACAAGCAGAATTTTCATTCACAAAAAAAATCATAAGGTTAATATATGATTTGAACTATAATTGAAACAATAACATTGAAAACAATATCCTAACACTATCATCTATCTCTACAAATTATAGAAATTATTAATATATACCTATCAGAATGCTAAAAATATGAACAGAAACAGTGACTACCATAAATATGATACCAGACAGAAAAATGACTTCCATTTGCACCACTTGCAAAGAAAGCAACACATAAAGAGTCCTCTCTATACTCGAGCACATTTGTTCAATCTTTTGCCTGAAGTCTTGAAACTCATTATCAATATGAAACATTTCAAAATATCTTTGAAAAAGTTTCTCATCCGTCATAACTTTTATTCCTTATACGAGTATAAACAACTTAGCGACTAGATAGTTATGTTTCAATATATTTTAACATGTGTTTATATTTGAATACTTCATTTTCATTCTTTTTTTTAATTATGTTTGTAACGACTATGTTATTTGTCTTTTTCTTGATGTTTATATCCAATGAGAATTTTTTCTTTTTATGTACTATGAGATCTCATGTTATGAAGCCACCATAAGAGATTTTCTGTCTATCTATCTATCAATTCGTTATTGTTTTTGGTCGATTGTGAGTTTGCGTGGCACCCTCTTTGAAGAGAGCTTTCGTACACCTAAATATTCATAAACGATATGCCCAACACGTTGCTTAGATATCTGTAGAGCCTCAGCTATCTCGATGAACTTCAATTTGTGGTCATTCAAAATTATTTAGTGAACTTTTTTATGTCTTCGTCGGAACAGCTTATTTGGGGCGTCCACTGCATGCATCGTCTCCGGTGCTTATTTCATCTCAATCAAATTCAGCAAATAACTTCTCAATGGTTGATTTTTCTAGTGCGAAGTCCAAATAATGTTTATCAAGCCAAACTTTGGCTTTAACAGAATTTTTTTTGCCACTTTGGTGGTATCACTTTTTGTAATTCTGATATGGCAATCGTTACACCATTAATATTGGGTAAAGCTTTGGACATTATAGTATATTTCCCTTTCCCTGTATGCCAATCTTCCTCGATTACTTCAGATCTAAAAGTTGCTGTGAGTAGGTAATAACGTTCACTTTCATCCAAACCACGTGAATCACAATTCAACCGAAATAGTATTGAAAAAATCATAATTTTGTTTTTGTCATAGGTGGCTACTGGAGATCAGCGGTGGCCTCGAGGCCTAGCACACCCCCCATGGCGGATAATGCCAGTGATGCCTCCTCCATGATGCCTCCGGCAAGGCCAAAGAGTCGCGTGGAGATGGCGACCAGCCGATACAGCAACTTGTCGTACTGGAAAGCTAGAAGAGTCGTCTTCTACAAGAATGGAGATCCGTTCTTTCCTGGAGTTGAATTCAGGTAGCTATATACGTAGTAACCCATTAGAAAAGTAGCAAAAGAAAGCAAATCTTTTACATACCGAGACCAAAAATAGTTTTTTATTTTCTGAATAACTGAAACCCAAAACTGACTGCTACGTTCTTTTTGGTCCTCATTTTCCTCCTCTATTTTCTATAGCTCATAACTCAAGAAGCATGTTTCATATTCCAGATTCAAACCAGGAAGAGACATTGTTAGTCTGGAATCTCTCTTGGACAAACTTTCCTTGCGGATGGATTTACCAAGAGGAGCAAGGTACATTTTCTCCATGGATGGTGATAGGAAATACAGGCTTGATGAGTTAGAGGATGGCGCTTCCTACGTTGTGTCTTCATACAAAGCATTCAAAGTGAGCATTTAGATAATTTATCCAGATACTCGTGTCCCCCACATTGATATATGAAATTGTATTATCTTTCAGTTGACGTATATGATATATATATANCATGATGTCTACAGACAATCTTTTAGATCTTATGTGATAGAATTGACCGATACTTGATAAAAAAAGGATTTGAAGCTTTATAACTCCCATTTAATTATATGCGAGCGCTTTCGACAGCTGGTCGTGCTGTCATCATCTAGGCTCTACTAGTTTTGAGTAGAACATTATGTTGAAATTTGTTTTAATGGGAAGAAATTATCAAGTCTGAAATTGAAAGCCAAAAATTAATAGTATTTGGAACAATGAACATGATATTCGATAAGTTGTATTTTATTTTGGATCATTTAGTCGACTAGAAAATCATCTCAACTTGATACACTGATGTACGTAAATATATCATTTCTTGCATTGTAACCTACAATAATTCCTCCTATTCTCTTTATATCCAACAAAAAGACACCCGCTCGCCCAGAATGGACTGTACCATGTCCGCTTTAATAGTGACTGGAAAATCGATAAGTAAATACAGACCCACCTGGCTACTTAGCGAATTCACTTTCATTCGGACGTTAGTAAAAGAAACAGCTGATTTTCAAGCAAGCAAATGAACTCTTGGATTTGGGGCGAATAAGAACTTTTCTCTCATTATATAAAACCTTCTGAATTATTGATAGTGTTTTATCTTTCAAACACTAAACCAGACTTTTGAAGAAGAGTAAATTATTTCAAGTGTGCCAATTTATTACAACGATGTGTCAATAATGTTTTTGCGATAATACAAATACTGGTCTCTGTTTCTTACGTAGGAAACAGTAGAAGAGTAGAAAAAACTTATTCATACGCGAACATCTAGGAAAAATTACTATAGATGAGTTAGAAAAATACCAATAACATGACTTGTAGTCGGAGAATAAATAGAAATTGATTTTCTCACCCACAATATATGTTCAAATATGTTCTAAATATGTTTTTTCGCTAACCAGCTATCGCACCCTACGAACGACAACCCTCAGAAATCGAAACTTGTGCGAGCTAAGGACAAACGAGGTCTTACCTCTCAACGTGTGATTCCTAACACGGGTTGGACGATAGCAAGCGAAATATCGAGCGTTCGGCCTGGGGCTTGAATTATTGACTCACACATCGGCCGATTGACTGGGCGATCAAAGCACCCACATCGAACCACCTGGCTACCGACCGACCGACAGTGAAATTATACATCAACCATCACAGTGTTTCTTTATCTTTTTTTTAAATCTAATGATGACCCTCGGATCTAATTGATTTGATTCAGGAACTGAAATCAAAAGCAATTCATTTCAACAGTGGTTATATCCAGAAATTCATTTCGGATAACTTTTATGTTCTGTTTTAAAAAACTCTCAAAGCTGAGAACCATACAGTGTGACCAGATTTTTTTTATTATTGAGTTTAATAAAAATTCGATTTAACATCAATTTCTGCTTCGATCGGAATACACAGAAAATAATTCATGTGTTTCGCATCAGCGCTAAATTTTAAGTTTTTCCAAAAATGTCAATTTCTTCATGTACTGAAAAAGTTATGAGAAGAAATTTTTCTGAATACACTTTCTAGATGATCTGTTTTAGGTGCTTGAGATAATTTTGATATTTGCTAATTTTTTGTAAGTTAAAAGACACTGTTTGACGTGTTAGGAATCATACGTTAAAAGGTAAGACCTCGGTAATCCTTATCTCGCACAAGTTTCGACTTCTGAGGATTGTCGTTCGTAGGGGTGCGACAGCTGGTTAACGGAAAAACATATTTTAAACTGACAGATTTTTAAATACCCTTCAAGAACCATCTTTTTTTGAAAGTGTAGTTTCTGCTTGAAATTGATACAGTATAGTCAAGACAAATTAGTCAATTATAGTCAAGACAAATTAGTAATCAGTGGAAAATAAGTTGACTTCAATGAAAGTGTACATTTTCAACGATTCAATTCAAACATTTTGTGATTTTGAATTTTAAGTTTTTAATCGAATATTCAAATGTTGAGAATCAGACTCCTTTCAATTGAATCCAAAAACAAGCTTTTCTCCTAATAACCAGATTTACGAGAAGAGTGATTGGGTTTGATTGTGGGTTGTGATAAACCTACTTTGAGAAATTTAAATCCAATATACAATGCCAATCATTTGAATTTTTTTCAATTATTATTTATATTGATCAAAGCAGTCATTTAAGTAACACTTTTCGATTGCAATCTTTTGTTGAATTACTTTCAAACACGAGATACAAAAATAGACATACATAATCATTTCGATATATGAGAAAATAAAAATTTAACATTATACAATGCTGAGCATATGATTTTTATTTCTCGATAATTTTTTATATTGATTATATTGATATCAAAATCAAATTTAGAGAAAAACCATTATTGAAAATTTTCATATCACTGATCATTATGAAGTCTCTGTCTGTCTTAACACAACGAGCTCAAAAACTACCGAACTAATTTCAAAATGGTTCACCAATTTATCATTATTTTTTGTGAATCGAATGAAATATGAGGGTGACATCTGTGTGAAATAGGGGCGGAAACCCTACCTAGAAGTTTTCATTAAAAACGCCCTAGTCCCTTTAAGATTTAACGAAATTATTCACTACATTCTTTATGGAATTCAATTAGATATCATTCTCAGGATTGCTACACTATAGAGTATAATTCAAACAATATAATAGGAAAAATCCAAAAAAGATCTCAAAACATATTTACTGAACAACTTCCTGAAATTGTTCCTCCCTTGTATTTTCTCTATTTTTTTTTGAGTGTGGTCAAACAATTGATTGTTGAATAAGAAAATAACCAGTGACCCAAAAAGTTTATGTTTAAGTTAGGATTAGACAGACTCAGGTTAAGTAGGCTTAGGTTAGGTAAGCAAAATAAAAATAATGTGAGCCTTACTACAACAAGGGTTAACTGTTAGAGCACCAATCAGTGAAATTTCCCTTGAGACATTTATTATTATTATAATTTGCTAATTGAAAATGTATTTAGACAGATGTGATATCAATCCTCGTATATATTAGTTGCCATAAGCATTTCATGCACATTATAATGTGCATTCAAATCGTAGTTGCGCACAAGAAAATAAATTCAAGCAGCCTAACAATCGGATGTAACACGCTTGATGATGAAAGGTTGCAATTGCGCTGGTTTTACCGACGTAGTGAACCATTTTGGAAGTCACGGTGGCATTTTTTTTGATGTTGTTATTAGGTGAATAGCTACCTACCTATTTCAACATTAGAATTGTTAGTAAAATTGTTCAAAGGTCATTATTATCAGTTACCAGCGGGGGTGGTAGAAGATTCGCTCAGGAAGTTGATATGTGATTAAGTTGTAGATGGAATGAAATGGTTACATACAAAATTGGTTTCGAATAGTACACAATGTTCCAGAACATTCCGCAGCAATCAAACATGTTCCGGTATGTTCACAAACCTTCCAAACTATTCTCGAACATTTCACGGCATTCCAAAATGGTCCGGTTTGTTTTATTGTGGAATGCTCTCGAATTCTCTAGAACGTTCTGATTTGTTCTAGGAATTTCTAGAGGGCGAAACATTCAGGCCTTTCTAAAGCTAGCCCTTTGAATAATAATAATATGATAATAATAATTTATTCTCCTCTTGTTTTACATTTTCGTACATACATATGACTCAGTGAAGAAGATAAGTTGGGAAGGGGAATCAATGGGCAACAGGAACCTTTTTCTTGGATGTGGGATAGAGGAATATCTGGAATGTTCTGGGAATTTCCGGAACATTCCAGACTATTTCCGAACTATCCACAACATTCTGGAAGACAAGCTGACATTATGTCAGAAAAAAATATAGACTGCCACCTTTACGAATCCGGGTCGGGTCTCTAGTCAAATATGAATAACAAATATACCGACCAGCGTCTACATTTCAATCAGTTTGGAGCCCAGCTCCCTTACCCTTTTAGCTGAATCAAATATAGAGTTTATAGAGTTTCAAATGAATAAGAATCAAATTTATCACTAACCTGGGAAGTCTTTCAAACGTCTCCCATTTCATTGGTTGATTTACTTGTGATCGTGAATGTGTCAGTGCGTTTCACTTTGTGTCATCCAGCCTTAAAAAGATGAAATAATACTCGTTATTGGTTGACTTGGATGACAAAACAAACTCGTCAAGGGTAACAATATTAGTTTACGTTTTGACCACTCCCATCAAATTGATACGATACCATAGCAACCCGTTGATGGATTATAAACAAAGCTTCTTGTTCATCTGAAAAAGGAGTTCAGGTGAAAAATATTCATTACTTCAGGGTTCTTTTTCATTTTTGAATATCAATACCTTGTTATTCTAAAATTGTATGTTTTCAGAAACAGTTCAACTCAAAGGCACTTTGGCAATAACTTTCTGGAACATACTTCTCCATCTTTATATAAAAAATATGGGATTCTTCCGAAGGAAGGGAAAAAGCAATCAACTTTGAAATAAATCCTTTAAAAAAATTGTTGAGCATTCATAAGAATCACTTTCAGATACTAACTGAAAAAGGAGTCTGCCAGTATGAATACATCTGAGGAAGCTATTGTGTAGCGAAACACGTGTTTCCGTTCAATTCAGTTTATTGTCCAGAAAAACAATAAATGGTCCTAATTAGGGACTATAAATAACTACTAAGTATTATAAAATAACATAACCAGGATATTTTACAATAAATACATAACCTAGCTTGAAAAATAACTATGAAATGCACTCAAATATGAAATTGCTTTCAGAAAGTACATGTAGTACAATTGAATGAGTCATTCAATTATAGTTTTTGAACTAGAATACTTCAAATTGAAAGGGTTATATCTTCAGGAGTGACTAATTTTTGGGAAAGAAAGTTTTTGGCTTTCTACTACTCCATCTTGATACAAAAACATGTGTGAATCTTCCAAAGAAAGGAAGGA